TTCAGATAGAAACTATATACATTTGATTGCCAAATTTAATTTCAAATTCTTAAATTTTCTTAAAAACGGCTATTTTCTTAATTTTAAGAAATTTGTAAACAAACACAAATTTATCGATTTTTAAAATATTTAAAAAAAATTCTGACACGTTATTTTAGTAAAATTAAAAAAATTAAAGTTAAAGTAATCTGATTTCAAAGAAATCTTTGTTACTTATAGCATAAAAAAATAATATACAACCAATTATTAACGAGCGGTCCTGTTCATCTGATCGATCTATTGTACTTACTTGTACTTGATGCGGCATTCACCCTGGGCGGATTGAGCCGGCTTCTTCCTGTTGTGAGAAGATTCTTGGGATAAATTACAGAAGTAGGGTACCCAGGCCTACTCGAATAACGTTCTTGCTTGCCGCGGGGTTCCCACAGACGCAGAGACAGGAACGACCAGAAGCCGCCGGTTACCGATGCAGACGCTCCTTGGATTTTCACCAGAGCCCTTGCTAGCCGGTGTGTGTGTCAGACCTGTCCGCCTTGGGTGGTCCTACCAGGAACGAAGTTCCGGACGGCATAGCTCTGACACTACCGTTTGCACCCCCCCCACCGACTGTGAGGTAAGGGTTGGACTTGTTCGATCTATTGATGATGGTTGATTGACGAACCGATGACAGCTACTACTGATGACCATAAATGACATAATTTTTAAGTCTGAGTTTTTAAAAAAATTATTCTATTTGAGTATGACACACACTAATGGAAATACAATACATAAAATAAAATTATTTAGTGAAATAGTAAATGAAAAAAAGAAAAAATAATTTAAAATTTAAAGTTTACACTTTTAAAGCTGAACGGAAAATACAACCTGTAAAAAACGAAATGTTTTGAAAAGGCCACGTAAAGGGATAAAACCCTTAGATCACGTGACCTTGTTATAATAATGGCAATTTCTGTATATCATACATGGAAATAAGGAATGTATTAAGTAAAAAAATACAACATAAAAAATTATTTTTAAAAAAAGTAGCGCAACTAAATTTATTAAACTTAGCAATTTTGGATTCGTAAATTTTTTTCTACTTAATTACTACATAATATTGAGGAGCCCTCCTAATACAGAGCTTTACACGATGTTAAACTATTATAAATTATTATAATTAAAATTTCTTAAAAAACGAAAAAATTCTCATAAGAATTAATTATTCATCAGAAAAAAATTATTTCTTCAGACAATAATGTCCTTAATATTACTTATTTACAAAACCAATTAAAAGCTTTTCTAATTAAGTAATATCATAGTTTTATTGGATTCATTATTTTTCAATTCAGACAAGATTTTCAGTTAAGTAGCTCAAATTTGAAAAAAAAAGTAGGTTATTTACCATCTCCAAAGACTCCTTCTTTTAACAAAAAAATAAAATTGAGGAGCCAAAAAGGTTTTGAGCGAAATTTCATGAAATTAAGTAAGTGGGGGTAACATATTTAAAAAAAATATTTTTTACCAAAATTTTCTAAAAACAAAATATTTAAAAAATAATTTCATTCATTTGTGAATAAGTCCTGAAAATTTCATTAAGATCAGACAATTATTTTATTTTTACAAGAATTTCCAAATCAATATGTTTTCAACGGGAAAAAAACGCAAAAAAAAACAATGTTATTTTAAACCTCACCGCGATGACGTAAACAAAGACAACTTTAACCAAAATTTCGAACGTGTTAGAAAATATTAAAACATTTCAAAAAATAATTAGAAAATACTTTTTCTTTAATCTTAATAATAACATAAACATTTTGACGATAATACTTTATTTTTTTTAAGTTTGTGGCATTTTTCATTTACGCTATGCTGTTTTTCGGCGAAAAAACAGCTTTATATATATATATATATATATATATATATATATATATATATATATATATATATATATATATATATATATATATATATATATTGCCTAGGATAGCAACTTGTCTAGAATGACAACTCTGAATTAAAAACCTGGGGACCTTGTGGCACGTGGTATTCAGCTCTTCAAAAAGTGTGGTTGGTTCTGCACAAAACCTTCACCGCTATAATCGAATCATATGTGCAGGTGTATGAATGTAGGTTCCTAGGACCTGAGCTGCTTGAACATCATACGTCGAAAAAAACGCCAGAAGAATCAACCATATATATATTTTTTTTCTTCTTAGCTTTATAAATATGTGAACCGAGATAATACCCCAAAATTTGGAAGTGAACAAAATAAATAAAAATATTTCTTTTCCAATATCTTACTGGCAAAAATTCATGTTACATTCAAGTTAAACCTGTCATAGAAATTTGTCCAAAGTTTTCAATAACATCTGACACCTGACAACAAGTGAAAACATATATATATATATATATATATATATATATATATATATATATATATATATATATATATATATGAAAAGGCAAACTTAACTGACGCATTTCGTCCTCTGCGGGACTATCAAGGTAAATGCAAGGATTTTATTTTGTAACAAGTATTTATATACAAAAGCACAAATATACTTGGTTTTGAAAGCTTTTAAAATGTAAGAAATGTTCATAAATATTCATTAGGTTAGCCGAAATGTTTAGGCAAGCTATGGAGGACAGCAAGTGACACAATTCAATGCCTTATAAACGAAAGTTAGTTAATGCAAATTAGTATTTAAATTATTTTAGATTGGGATTAATTTATGTTATATATTTTATATAACATCGGGTTATCAATTTATCTGTTTTCTTTTAAGTTTTTGACATTTATAGTCATATATGTTGACTTGGGAAAGTAGAAATTCTTTCATGAATGGTGATATTTAAAAAATCCTGACGCATATATATATATATATATATATATATATATATATATATATATATATATATATATATATTGTTACGAACTTGTAGCATATAGATGAACCACGGGTTCTAAAAAAAAAAAAAAACGTGGTTTCTTTTCTCGGTCTTCACTCAGAAATGGAAGCGACACAAAGGGAATCAACGAAGAACAGACGCAAGACGATGGATTTCAAAATTAAACATTTATTTATAAATATATATATATAACGAAACAAAGAAAAAAAAAAAAAGAACATTCATTTAACAAAGGGGAGGACATCAGTAAAGAATAGAAGGCGCGAGCGAATACATACATATATGAAAATAGATCGAGCCAAAAGAACCAACTTATCTTGCAGTCGGGCTGGTATCTTCACAAAGTTTTGATTCGCTGAAGGAGAGTTCTGATGATAAATCAGTATCTTGGCCGGCCGACAATGTTCCTGGATTCTTCTTTTTTCGCAAGTGTTCGTGGGTCCCCAGCATTTCATACAGGCATTTGGTTGGGTTGATCAGTCAATAGCAGCCCTTCAATCACTGGTCGATAGACTTCGTGGTCTTCCTCATCTCAGTGGGCGGTCTGACGATTTTTGCCCAGCGATGTTCAACTGCCGCTGGTCAGAGGAAACTGAAAAATCCTTCTTTGGTTTTCGCTGTCCCCACAGACAGTCACGTGGGTTCCCTTCGTCCTTGACCGGGTACGCAGGAGAATAGGGCGCAAATCACGCAGTGTTTGTGTGATGGCCAAAAGTTCAACGCATGCTCCGTACGTCCCGATCACGTGAATCGCAGCATGAGACCCTGATGGTGTCTGGAGTTTACTCATGGTCAAACGCGAAATCTTAGAACCAGGTCATCCTCGCGTCGGGTCACTTCTAAGTTCACGGGCCCTTGGCTGGCGGGTGGAAGAGAGGATAGGGAGAGAAAGAATTTGTGAAGAGAAGAGGGAGGGTATGGCTGATCATAGAATATATTCGCTCGCGAATCGGAAGCATTGGATTAAATTTCTGTTTTTATCTATTTATTTATCTTTCTTTTATATCTAACTAATTTTCTCTTTATTTAAGATTTTACTTTAGCCTAACGCCTATATGGTTAATGAAATCGTTGCTACGTGACAATATATAGTCATCCATATATAAGCCTTCAAACCGGGATCGAACCCCGATCCCACCTTGGCTAGAAAGGGAAATTCTAACGTATTATATACAGATTTATACAAACGTCAGCAGCCAGAGGGCTCAATTCATTAATCAAGAGCGGTTCGTCAGCAGCGCCGGCTACTGTTTTGCAATTACCCTTTTCTCTATAGTGCTCGATCGAATAACGAGAGCATAATATAGTCATTCACATACAAACATGTTTTACTGCATCAGTGTGGATAGACATCCGATTGCTTTAAGCCGGCATCGAGACCCGACCAATTTGTCATCAGTCAGAGATCCTACTCTTAACCTATCGGCGACCGGCAGAGGAATGAAATTCTAACGTATTAGATAAGATTCGGTAGCGGCATTCTCGAGAATCTTTCGTCTAATTAAGTTACTTTTTCTTTTAATAAGCGAGGTATTCTTTAGATCAAAGATGTAATTGAATTCATTTCATTGTATAACTCATGCATTTGATAAATTGTTGTGTATAAGATCCCTTTGTATGAAAATTTAATATGGTAGGTCTTCGAAGTGGTTAAGAGAATTGCTTATATTTAAAAACCTTTAATGCTATTTTTCAAGATATGTTCACTTTAGAAATTAGCGCAACGTACCCTACATCAGTTTCTACCCATTTGATCTTGTGTCAAGCGAAAAAAATATTTAGCAATTATCTATCTACCCGTCAAAAAAATATCCATATCTATTGCGTCGCGTATATGCAAATCATGTGGATTTCTTTCTTTACAACCTCACCACTCTTGACGTTGCCCTATGTTTTTGCTTTTTACACCCAACCGATTTGTAATTCGGAGTTGTGCTTTTTGCAGACTAGAGGCCCATGGAGTCTAGAGAATCCAGTTTGCTCTGTATCTCTTCTCCCAACCTCCTAATCTGTGGGAAAAAATAGATTCATAACTTTCTCAAGTGTATTTGTGCGAAAGGTTTTTGAACTCGGCACACCAATCCACTTTCGGCACCGAGAGCCACTACGCAATGCGCACAGTCAGGCAGCCTGCTATCTCAGCCTATTCATATCTATCTATCTATCTATCTATCTATCTATCTATCTATCTATCTATCTGTTCATGTCTCTCAACATCTTTCTCAGTTTTCTCATTATCTATCTATTTATTATTCACTTGCAACATGACAAGCAACCTATTGCGCCATCTATTATCCTCTCTTGATGCTCCATGTTCCTTCTATTTTCATTTCTGTCGCTTATTCACTTCTATGACATATATTGAGTGGTTTTCGGATCCATATGTAATTCTTTTAATGTTAAGCGAGAAATATTTACTTCGATATACAACAAAAGACAATTATATCAAAACATCAGTCAAAGTATAGTAATTCTAAAGGGTATAATAAAAGACCTTGGTGATTAACTTTCCTATCAGGTTACCATCGAATATATATAAACCATTGTCAAAGGACTTAAAATAGATAACTTAAATGAAAATCAGTTTTGCATGAATGGTTACTCAACAATAGACAATCTCCAAACAATAAATCAACCAATAACAAAAAATAACAGAACAAATTAATCTATTTGCTTTTAGTTGACTATGATAAGGCCATTGATTCAGTAGAACACTCGGCCACCTTTAATTTTCTACGAGAACAAGGCTTGAAGGAAAAGTATACAAAAAATGATAAAATTAAGGAAAAAACAAGAAACTTAAATAAAATGTTATGTAATGATAAAGTGAAGAGCATTTAGCAAAAATACAAGCATAATAAAAACGCACTCGGTCAATATGGTTAAAACGTAAAGTTTATAATGTATGTGTAACATGCCAGCTATGGCATACCGGTGTTAAACTTAAAATTAACAATATCACTTGAAAACAAATTTAGAAACACACAATGATCAATGGAAAGGAGATAACACACACACACACACACACACACACACACACACACACACACACACATATATATATATATATATATATATAACCACGAAATAACCGCAACATTTGACACAATCACATATATGCACGTACATACACACACACACACACACACACACACACACACACACACACACACACACACACACACACACACACACACACTAAAAGAAAAAACAACATAACACCAATAATAAGAATATCCCAACTAAACTGATTATGTCATCAAAATAACTATAACGAAAACGAAAAATGCAAAAAAAACGGTAGTTAATTGTGGAAACTTCCGGAAGAGTGGATTGAACAATCACAAAAATGTTCATCTATAAAAATCTAAGGTCGTGGTGCTGAATATGACATCAATCAGCTAAGAAATATTTTATTGTATATATATATATATATATATATATATATATATATATATATATATATATATATATTACATGAATCATTCATACAAAACCCAGATATTGAAGTTAATGATATAAATGGCGAGAATCCATCTTCGCAAACAAATTTAATAAATTACATTAACCCCGAACCTGTAGATCAATGTTATGATCCCTGTTTATAAATTCCAGTTGCATAAGGTCTTTTTTTATTTTTTTACAAGCTTTCATCTGTGCATACAAACATTATCAGGTATGGAAATAGATTTTTTTTTTTACATCCCGGTAATAACAGGATAACGAAAGAATAGATGTCATCCGAAATATGTTTTTAGAAATGTGTTATTGTTAATTGTAAGAAATATTTGGATCGTGCGGTCGCAAAGCTGAGGTTGAATTTTTAAATTTTAAGATTGTACGTTTTTGTAGCAATATAGTAATGGGAGAATTATTTTATACTGATAGGTTTTTAAGTCAATGTGGCATAAACTAAATTGTCCAATAAATACAGGAATGTCACAGTTATTACCCGAAAGTTGCACGTCGGATCAGTTAATTTAATATCAAGTATGTGGTGCAGTTCAATTTACATTACATGAATCATTCATACAAAAAACAGATATTGAAGTTAATGATATAAATGCCGAGAATCCATCTTCGCAAACAAATTTAATAAACTACGTTAACTCCGAACTTGTAGATGAATGTTATGATCCTTGTTTATAAATTCCAGTTGCATAAGGTCTTTTATATATTGCGTAGTTACGTGTGAGTTCTTTTAAGAGTTCTTCAATACCTCATAAACTGTAAAAGAAGACTTCAGTATCTCAATGCAGGGAGTATAAAAAAGTAAGTACTCAAAGCGAGCAAAAATATTACATCCAATTTTGGATCCAGCATATTAATATATTTCATGAATATAAAAAATAGAAATGAAAATAAATCTTACATGACTACTCCATACGCTGTAACGACCAACACGCGAAACACGTTCAAACTCATGACACATTTAACAGCAAACATCTTTGAAAATAGCTAATGGTGCTAACCAAAAGTACACAGATACGGGAAATTTCATAATCCAGTACCGACCGGAAATTAGAAAAATTATTACAAGAGTTGAAAAGATAAATTACAATGAATTAAAACGGAATTTTCGCTCGTTTTAATGAAATTTTCAAACACACACACTCTAACACAGACACAAACAAACATACGTTAGCATGCACAAACACATACAGACAAGTACACACACACTCACACACACACACACACACACACACACACACACACATATATATATGTGATGGAAAGAGAACAAATAGGAAGCGTTTATAAATTCAACATGTTTCGCTTTTATTGAAGCTTCATCAGAAATTTTTGGAAATGGGTTCGGGAAAAGAATCTTGTATTACATTTCTAAAAAATTCTGATGAAGCTTAATAAAGCGAAACATGCCAAATTTTTAAACTTTTCCTATTTGTTTCTTATTCTGTCATTCTCTCTGATTTTAATTAATTCATATTTGATTCCAGTTGCGATTATAAGACACTATTCAGCTTTGATTGTTCGACGATGCACTCGGTGGCCGAGTCAATCTGAAGCACGACGTTTTCTCCTGCAAGGAGCACGGGGCTCAGGCTCGAAACCCGGAGAGAGCATATCTTCAGTCCGGTAGACATAAATAAATAAATATATGGAGCGTCTTCTCAAATATGGGCATCTACTAAAAATAACGTTTAAGTAATAAAATTTATCCGATTAATAAATAAATAAATATCCATCACTTAAAAATTGCTTTGTTTAAGTTAGCGTACCAAACTGAGCAGATATGAAGGTTTCGAGAGTCTAGGAAAGATTTGCGGTACTATTCAACTATACTTGATCGACGACGCACTCCATAACTAACGACGATTTCTCTTGCCAAAGGGGACGCAGGTTCGAAACTTGCCGTAGGCACATGTTATACTTTCGTAATATTTCTCAAATATTAAGGCCGGCATGCGAAAATAAATATACTGTTTAATAAATAAACGGAGTGTCTACTAAACTACAGGTATACACTAACATGACGTTTAAGTAATAATAGATTACATTTATACATCATATATATATATATATATATATATATATATATATGATATGATATGTCTCGGAAAGGGGTATATTTGAACGAAGTAGCTAAGTGGTTTTGGCTACTATAACCAAGTAGAATACGGTAGCAGTAATCGACTGGTACGCGTCGTAGTCGCAGGTAGGATGTATAGATCAATGGCGTACTCCAATAGGCGCCGTTACAGACTTAGCTCTCAGACTAAGGCTCTTCACTGACCTACACGTCCGTCGATATTTATGACGGACACCAGCCAATCATATTCCAGTGAGGGGGAACACAGGTGTACGCATATTCCATTATATCAATATGTATGGTATAAAATAAATGAATGCAGTAAGTTATATATCTCCCATATAAATAAAGCACAGTGTACGTGTGTCCGTCCGCCCATTTTTCGATCTCGGCGAATCATAAACAACCCAAAGTAACAGGTAGTAACTACTGTAGTTACACGCGATTAAAAATTTAATAAATAAGTCATTAAAGGTTAAATTTAAACATCAAGCAGAATAAAAGGTTAAAAATGTAATTCTTTATTAAAACTTTAACTTTAATTTCAGTTTTCGTCGCAATTGCTGTTGATATATTCTAATTAAATAGTAATTAAAACTTAAGCGGGGTACGGTACGTTGCTCATGTGTTTTTTTTCTAGCATGTGTATTGTGACGTATTCGAAATATTACACAGTTCGGTTTCCCTAATGTCTTTTGAGAGGGACCTTAAAAAAAATAAAAATTGCGCGCAAAATAAATGCAAACAAACTACGCAGATCTGTTGCGTATACGAAGAAAGATTATGCCGAATTAAGGTATCGAATAAAGATAATTTTATTATTTCTAAATTCTTATAAATTTTACGTACATAGGACGCAGGAGCTAGTCTAAAGTCCGCCCGAACGACGGCTTCTAGGCTAGTAAGGTATAAAAATGAATAAAGACCAGATTTTTTGATTGAAATTAATTTCTTTGGTTATCTGTTTTATTCATTAAAGATTTGAGTACTTTGAATTTGTTTTTATATCTGCAGCCCCACTCTCTAACCGATGACCCCTTTTTCGGCAATGGCAGGTGAGGTAAGTTTTTTTTCTTTCTGCTTCAGGAATAATATGTTCACCTTGAGAGCATCACTGTAGCGGGTGTCACTGATCCAGACCCCAGAGTAAAAGCCCACGGAACACTTTTCACGCATTTTCAAAGAAAATTGCCGTCGCCTCTCAAATGAACAACAACTGTAAACACGAAATGTGTACTCGACATGGCGCCCGAACAATGTCTGTCAACAATGCTACCTGTTGCGAGACTGACCTCCTCTCACCAGGTATTCTCTTTGTGATCGTCGTCGGGACATGACGTCTCTTTAAATATACGTCAAGACCCGTGTCACCTTGGAACAATCAATAAAGGAAAAGGAGCCCTTAAGTCTACACGTATATTCGCAGTTCAACCCGGCACAGCCTCTTGCCCCAATAAAAACGCGACGCTGGTTTTTATTTATTTTTATTTTTATTAATGTTATTATTTATTTAGTTTTGGTTACCTGGTAGCAGTTGCGTATTGCATTGTCGGGGGGGTG